ATATTGTTGCCGGAGGTCGGTCTAGTTCGAGTCGTGGCGCTAGACTTCGTACTGTTGGAAGTGAAATCACCAACAGTGGAATGACCAACCCAAAGGTCTTAATGAGACTGGGCAACTTGTGTTGGTAATTGCGGGGCCAAGTATTCAAGAACGCTAGAATAATATGATAATTGGGAACAAGGTCAAAAACGAGTAATTTGGGTGTTGGATGAGTTTATGTACCAAGTTATCACCTGGGAATTGTTACCTCTTCATCTGTGGGGCCAGTAAAATCGCTCGGTACTGAGTACTTCGGACGATTTCTCAAATTTAACGAATTACATTTGCAGCTCAGACAACAACTGGGGGGCATGGCTCAGCGGTAAGCACTGCGAGGCGCCCATGATGATGCATCTAGGTGGCCGACAAGCTAACCTGGGACACTAGCTTGGAAGGCTGGTGGTCAAAGACCCATATTTTCATTTAGTAGAACCGGGTTGGGCGAGATGCAACCCGGTTCACATCGAACCTGCATGAGGGGTTAAGTAAAGCGGGTGATGGCGGTCTGTGAGAGGCTACTCATCACGGCGCTACTGCTGTGACGACAATCTTGGCAACAATTCCACGGGCTGGGGAGACATCCCTAAGAATTCCTGGCGCGTAGAGGAGTTTCGGGTTCAGCTCTATAAATTGGTGGCATCTCCTCAATGGCTCAAGGGGCTTGGGGCCAAAATAAAGTCCATGGAAACAGGGGTGTTTGGCATACCAGTTTTCTTCGAGTTGGAACGCCTCAATTCGATAAGATAAAATGATCTGTTGGAAGCTTACATATGTACTCATAAACATTACCAGGAATTTCAGTGTATGTTCCCAAATTAGCTCCTTTGACAATATTAACTTGGATTTCTACCCAGTCAGGGATATGGCTCGGGAAGGATTCAAGTGGTCAACAGTCACACAATCACGCGTGCCCATCCGCCCATCACACTGCAGATCATTATTTCTTCGGACTGTCTTCCTAAAGCGATTAATTGGTCCATGGGAATATCGAGTTCCGTGCAATAATATATGGAACGGAGCAGGCTTCAAAAATTCTTGGATGGTCTTATGGAATATTAGTCTGTCACTTATTATTATTTTAAAAGAAATAAAAGGCAGCCCCCCCCCCAGGTGTATATAACAAAATTAAAATTATTGTACATTCGCATGCCTCGAGAACATCGCAGCGGAAACTATTCGGGTATAGCGCATTTCGATCTATTGAATTTGTAGGAGATCCGCCTCATGCGGTGGCTACCCCCCGTATTCTTGACCTCCCAAACTTGGGATCGGTCATTGTTCCAATCAATCTCCGTACTCCGTAGTAAACTGGATTCTCCTGGTCTCAGTTGAAATTGGATTCTCATTTCATTTCCTCTACGTACAAAATAGAAATTTCCCTACGTCGCTCTCTATCTATTCTATCAATGGCTTATGTGACAGTCCTACTTGAAGCCAAACTGAATCACACCGCGTGCTCATGCAGACCAGGCATTTGGCATACTCGGGCCAAGTTATTTACTCTCCATAACGTACTTTTATCCCAACCCTGTAACCCCCAAGCATATTTTAGCCTTGTGAGGCCGTGACATGGAGTGATATGATGAGATCTTTATTTGATCTAAGGTCGGACAAAGATTGAAGAAAGCAATGCTTTCTATATCTGGTCTGTGGCTGTAAATGCACTGTATGACTTCCCGTGTGAATCCAGTTGTGTTTGGAAATCCCCTTACTTCTCACTCAGCATAAGTGACTTGGTGGCGCCGGTGAGAAATGCACTCGATCAATCTTAAAAATATGTTCTTTCTATCACTGACCGCACTTTGATATTTCATTTGCATGCCCCGGTCTTTCGCCTCTTAATGAACAATGTGGCTCAGATGAAAATCTACATATTCGCGTGCATCAATTCTCGTCTTATATCACGTATAAGAACTGATTGTCAGGTGGAAATATTGTATTGTATTCCTCTGCGGGTGGGTCTTCCAGCCTTGCATGGTGTCATTATTCCATGTGTATCATGCAGAACTGTTTCCCCATCAACATCTAGGGCTCGCATATATAGTCCATTTTGCCCTTTTCAAGGAGGGCTCTAACCCACTTTTGCTGTTTGCATCTTGACTAGACACATGAATACGGGCAAGTAAACTCTTCGCCGATGAATATACAACATCCTCGTGGCCCAGGGTGCACGTGCCCATAGCACAGGTCATTTTGGGCCCATGTGATGACTTCTGGTATGCTAATGTTTGATTGGTCCGTGGATTATGCAGGTAGCCTCGAAATTTATCTTGGCAACGGTCTATATGCTGTGCTTAGGGCACGATTACAGATGCTTTGTTGTGTTAACTCTCACAGTAGCAACGCCTCTCTTGGAAAGGAACAATGTTGATTTTGGTTCTACTCAGATCCTTAGGCAAACGAATGTACTGGTATTTATTTGTACGAAGTACATATTAAATGTGCTCGTCATAATATAACTAGACGATAGTTCCTGGGAAGACAATAAGCCCAAACATCCTCTGGTATTTTATGGCCCAGCTTATTATCAAGTACCCAGACATGATGGTACCGATAGTAGTTTAACCCTGGGTGAGTATGAAGTGATACCTGGACGCAATCAAGACTACAATTCAATATGGGCCGGGGTCACAGCAGGCCAGCCTCAATTGGGTTGATCGACCCAATGCTCTCATAAAATATGCGTTATTCCATTACCCATAATTCAATGAATTATCGCGCAAACCGCGACTCATCATTTCCCTATTATTACTATATGTGTCTAAATTAAGCACATAAACAATCATGGCTAATCTGATTCATTCCAAATTTAGAAGAGTAAATTTAGTTGGAATCGAAGTACGGAGTAAATCCTTCGTACATACCTCGTAGGATCCGGATCAATGAGGACCTTGAAGGATACAGGCTCTACCTGGGGATATTGCCCTGATTACCCCGCTCCAATTGATACTAATTATGTCCACGGGTCATTTTATTTGTTTTTCGGCTGCTAATTATGAGACAATTAGTCTACAGTTTCCCCTAATAACTCCCCATCTAATTATTAATAGAACTTTTGAGGGATTTTACTCACCCGATCTATCAAAAATAGGGAATCATATGCTGTCTCATTTTCAAGAACAGCATAATTAACCTTAATTAAGGCGCTTAAGTGTTGCTAATTAAGGATCTTTGCTATAGATGTACCCTTATCACAGTCCGAGCGTCATCCTTGGCGCATTAGTGTTCCCCGTCCCTGCCCGGCCCGGGCCCACGGTTGGCTATGAGTCCACCGTTCTGCACGACACCGATGACACTAAAATTTAGTCGACCTTAGGGCTTATAATCAATCAGCGAATCAGGAGCTGAATTTAGAAGCTTGGCATGCAAGAGCTGCTTCTTCATCACAGTCTAAATCTGCATGGTGTTCACCAACCATTCAATTTTCGGCCAATACCATCCAATTGTGTCCAAATACCCCTACTAATTCGGGTTTAGTGTGGAAATTGCCTGACTCGCAAAGATGGGCTGGTCACCTATCATTCTGGCGGTATCGATTTTTCCAACTCCAACAAACCAACAACCCCGCTTTCTGTAAGCGTGGGAATATTCCAACACGAGTGAAATTTCGGATCTTGTTGGTTGGTTGTGACGTGTGAGAAAATGTTTGTATGTTGTAGAATTGGGATCATCTTTTGATGTTTTGTTAGCCAGATATAGTCTGTAAGTTTAACTGGCTGAAAGTCTCGACGTCGAAAAAGCAAAATTGAAGTGAGTTCTCGGTGAATAGCCTATCAGCGTTGGAATGTGCCGTGCCCAGAGTTGCACTAAGTGATAACTGAGGTGCTTGAGAGTTGGTGATTACCCCGAAAGAGTTGGGCACTAGCAGGGATAATTCGCAGGTCCGCTGTAACTCTCGTGCATCATGGGGCCCCCAGTCGTCCTACCAGAGATCACTATCTGGTAACTGCAGACGCCGCTCGAGAGGATCGGCCCTGGTTACCTATCGTCCGTCACTCTTTGTGCTTGCACCCCTGTCGCGTCCCAAATTTAGTTTGAGGACCCGGCCAACAACTCGTGCCTCGAAATTGATTTGCCGCTGGGGTTGTATTCCCCACCTAAAGTTCGCATATTCTTCCGACTCGAACTAGGCTCCTCTACCGCTTCCAACAAAATTAGAACCATGCATGCCAGGGCTGCTGATCGTAGCTCAGACATATAACTCGCCGCATCCGAGATCTCAAGATAAAAGATATCCTTTGTACCCGTCTCGAAGCAGTGTGTTTTCCAATTTGTTTCCATCTTCCATTATATTATATCCTTAATAGAGCCTATAAGCTGCCGGTTCAGCTTTGCCATTGCGCCGTCTGTTTAGTTGCGAATAAGGTGGCTGGTCCTCCTCATCAACTATATTATTCTTTCTTCGGCCGTGCCGCCCGCCCCGCCTTCAATTACTTCGATCGCTTTAGCCATTGATTGACCTTTGCTTATCGTCAATACTGGATATTGAGGATCATATTGCGAAAATGTCACTTTCAAACGCACCTGGTGTCGCTTGTACAAGCAACGTACATTCTCCTCCGGCGGAGATGCCTCTCAGTGGGCCGCGCGACAGGTCTGGACGATCGCACAAAAGATCTCGCTCTGGTATGAACATCCATAGTTGATGGTCTACTGTATTGTTTTGGTTATTAACATTGAAAATCTGCATAGGTTGCTTCACCTGTCGCCTCCGAAGAAAAAAGTGTGACGAAGGTCATCCCGCTTGCCAAGCCTGTGCGAACCTCTGCATCAAATGTGAATATAAACGACCCGTGTGGTGGAGCAATGCAGAGCAAAGAAGGCAACAAAAGGAGCGGATCAAGATTAAAATCAAGGAGACCAAGTCATTGGCGCGAAGTGGCTCCCTTCATGGTACGTCAGCTCAACTTTGATTAGTTTCAGTATCCGCCTACCAGGCTCTAACATCTTGCTCAGAACGTATGAACCACGCTCTCTCGTCGTCGCCAAGTTCTGGAGAAAACGACTTTAGCCGCCCTAACTATGCTGAGAGATATGATTCCAACCTCGCGGCGCACTTTTCGACTCCTGGATTCGTACCAATATCATATCCTTATGAAGTTGATGTCAGAACCGAACGCCAAACATTTGTGAACGATGTACCTCTGCGACATGACTCTTCGGTCTCAACCTTCAATGCGATGGGCCCGCCACAGCTTCACGCTACACTTCCCACTTTCCGGTCAGATGAATGGTTTCAAGAAGAATATTTTGACTCTTCCCGTCAATTCTCCCAGACAAATACATTCCTGGGTGGTCCAGGCGTTGGACAATCTCAGGCATCCTCCCTACAAGCCAGTATTCCTGTCAATGACTATGACCGGCCGCTTCTGGATCATTTCGTGGACAATGTCTTGCGTATGATTTTTCCAATCCTGGAGGTTCATCAGCGTGGCTCTGCACGAGCTCGGTCTGTTCTTCAGTCTCTGGAGACAAACAAGTCCTACTTCCATTGCTGTCTTAGTGTTGCTGCAATTCACCTCAAAACAACAAGTCGACTAAATGGTGAACAGATCGATCACGACATTATGCGTCATCGCTTTGAAGCCATTTCCGAGTTATGCAAATCTCTGAATAGGGATGCTGACCATGACCACATTCTGGATGCGACTCTTGCGATGATCTTCTTTCATTGCTCGGTTGGTGCGCCCGATGATTACCTCCCTGATATCCCCTGGAACGACCATTTCCAAGCTGCGTCAAACCTGGTCAGCAAACTGGATCTGACCAACAAAATGATTCCATGTGGTCCGATGCACACAGTACCCCCATTTAGCATGTCTTTAACCACCTGGATCGACATTCTGGGTGCCACAATGCTTGGGAAAACACCCCAGTTTGCTCACTCTTATCGCGCTAAGCACCTTAGTGGAACACCTTCTGGTCTCCGAGAACTCATGGGATGTGATGACCGTATTATGTACCTCATCTCTGAGGTTGCCTGTCTAGAAGCCCTCCAAATTGAGGGCCGCCTTGACTCTGCCGCTGTTTGCACACACATATCTGCTTTGGGCAGTCAATTGGAATACACAGAAGGTGCCGATACAACGCTAATGAGCCCGTACTCAGCGGAAACCGGGGCGATTCGCCCCGATGCGTTGACAAAAACTATGACTGCCATTTTCCGCCTTGCCGCCCGCATTTATCTCTGCGGCCTCATTCCTGGAAGTCATCGCAACCAGTCCAGCATTATTAATCTTGTCAATGCATTAACAGATGCCATGGCTTACATTCCAGCGGGGCCTTTTGGCTTTGATCGCTCTCTTGTTTGGCCACTTCTCATCGCTGGTGCTTTCTCTACTCCCTCCAGCTCATTCCGTCAAGTCTTGCATAATCGAGTGACTGCCTTGGGAGATCTTGGCGAATTGGGAAGCATTGGTCGCATGTACCAATTGTTGAATGATTACTGGCGGTTATCCGATGATCCTGTCAGTCCGTCCTTCCCTTCAGGACAGCACGCGCCCGAGGCAGGATATCAATTCGCGGAGACAAGGCAGAATGCTATCCCTTCTGCTCCTCTTTTGTCACCTGGCATGCGAGAAATCAAGAGGCAGCAGGTTCACTGGCGAGATGTCATGAACCGAAACGGCTGGCGCCATCTTCTGATTTGAATGTGTCGCAAGAGCAAGCTGCAATCTCCATGGTTTACGAGTTAAAGAGTTAGATGAATCAGTGGTTCCTCCCGGGCTCTTTCGCGATCTTGTTTATTGAAGAAATACTCGGATTTGCGTATATCCTACATAGTTGAGCGAAGAGTTGCTATTTTCGTTATTGTTTTCGGGCGTTTGCACCTTGCGTTGGATTATATCCCCTGACTGTCGCTTATGTGTTTTTGTGGCTTTTACGGGCATCGAATAGTAGTATACAGCTAGGTTAAATCAACTTTCTCTTCGGTATGGACTCGAGTTCTCTGTGTGTATTGTTCATACATTTCCTGGCTTCCAACGATCTCTCTTGAATTTCTTGCTCATTTGTCTCTGCGCTCATTCACTCTGCTGATCTAGAGATTAAATTAAAGATGTCCTCTTCTACTGACTCATGTCAATACCAAAATAAATATTCCTCAAGGGCAAGCGCCCGACCTCAACAGACAACATGACACCAAATCAATCCCACAACTCCCACAACTCCCACATTACCAGTCAGTATGGCCCGTTTCATAATGTGAGAAGCGCTCTTTGATAGTTATGTCCCCGACCAGCAGAGAACTTTGTGATTAGGTCAATGGGCGGTAAATGAACAAAAATAGCCTCCTATATTTGGGTTACGGCCATAGAAATGTCGAAAGCGATGCTCATCTGGCACTTGCATACTACCAGAGCAGATTTTGCGTCATGAAACAAGGGTCATGTCCTGCAACGATCCATTGTGGAGGTGAAGCATGTAAAGAGCCAAACATTGGATGATGCACGATGGTTCTTCAAAGGGTAGCATCAAGGGGCTGGTACTGGTGTAAACAAAGTCCTGCAGAACTGGTGTCTGCAGACTAACCGCTGCTCCAGGGAGGGTATGACTGGGCAATAATTGAAGCCACTGGCACCAGCGATTGATGAAACAATTGCTATGTTTACCCCGAGGTTTGTTCCGCTAGAGATTTGGCTGATTTGGGAATCCCACAGCTATTGGCACGTTGAGCTGGTCTGTTGTACAATATCGAGCCGCTAATGTCATGAATGCCGCGCGCTCTGATGGTAGCGAACCAGGAGGGGCGATGTGCCGCAAGTGCACGGTTGCTGAAGAAACCAAGCCGCCCGTCGACGCCGTCGCATAAAGAATATTTTGGGAATAGAGAAAGGCTGATGCTCTTGATTCAGAAGGCGCGCGATAATGCGGCCGTTGTTTTATCTCAAGCCTTCTTGGTTATAGAAGCGGTTATCATCTGCCTAGGTGGAGTTGCTGGTGTATATAATAAGACTCGAGTGTCCATCCTAATTCACTTGTCCATCGTTGTCAATACTCTTATTTTTTTCTTTAACTTGTCTTTCATCTGTTATCTTTCACCTTGCTGGTGTTCATTCATTCATTTTATTAACCAAGTGCTGGCCACTTGTATACTTTTTTCATCCAAACCAAACCATCCTTGAGGCTTGCAGTTTAATTGGGGGCGAATCTTCTCATTCTGCTCAGCCCCCTTTGTTAGTCTGTTTAGTCCCGACAGCAGGACTGGTGAGTCCTTCGGGGCCAAATACGCGATTGGCCACGCTAATCTGTTTTCGACTTAGTCGATCAACCGCGTATTGACTGATACCGTCCAGTACAGTACAGCTCTTACGGTTTTGTACAATACCGTCCACCTTTCGTGTCCTACTCTCCATATAGAAAAAGATCTCCTCGGCCCTCCTGAGTCTTTGCTTCTTGGTAAGACTTACTTATTTCACTCTTCGACCCTGTCTTCTCGATAATTATCCTGACCTTCGTCTCCAACTATACTCAGACATCTTGTCGTGTTTCTTTGATCAAGACGCGAGCGACCCGCTCTCGCCGATCCGCTCTCGCCCTCTGCTTGCGTCACTAGTACTTCCCTCCCAAGCAACCTACCTCAACCTTTCTGCGCTTTTTTTTCTCTTCCGACTTGCAAATACACCATTGAGCGAGATGCCGGTCCGAAAGCCTGATTTGCATCCGCTGAAGACGCCGAAGACCTTCATCTTTCCTTCAGAGATACACAAGGATTCCAAGACCCTCACCGTCGATGATATCAAGCGCGAAGATGGAAGCGCAACACCCATCACACCCCCACTGGCATACACCGATTTCCTCAACGCCTTGACACCGGTCTTCACAAGTCCTGTCAGCGCTGGAGGCTTTCCAAAAGTTTCAATCGAGAAAAGTCACCCGTCGCCAATTTCGCAGCCGTCTACGGCAACAAGTCCCGCACTCTCCTCCGGTGGGGATGTCAAGTTGCCTGACACGCCAACCATCTCCCTCCCACCCCCCTCCCCTTGCACTGTGAAGTCTGCCAAGGCCCCGCCTGCATTACGACGACTACGCATTCCCCAGTCACTCAAGCCATTTTCTTCAAAAGACTCCCCGCGAACTGCCACCCCGTGTAGTGCAACTCCGTACAGCGCGGGTCCCTATAGTGCGACCCAATGGAGCGCACTTCCTCGCAGTGCGGCCAGTCTTCGGTCGCCATTTTCCCCATCAGATTGGAAGCTCCGATATCTCGAGGCGCCGAAAAGTGCAACCACAAAGGCAGTCAGTGTCAGACAAGTCGTGACCCGCACGATTACATACAAGCGTACCCCGCTTGATCCCCCACCAAAGGGAAAGAGACGCAAGACTCAAGAATGTCGAGACGTTTGAGCTGGTATCTTGCTCTCCATTCATCATGTGCAGCGTTTTATCTTGATTTGATTTTATGTGCAATTTACGTTTCGGCTTTGGAGGCAAAGCGGTTCTTCAAAGATCCTTTGGGCTTTGAAAGCCATATCAGATACTCTTGCCTAATTTTGAAATCTATTAGTTGATCCTTGATGGCTCGACTTTGGCATATTCATTTATACAATCTGTTGTGAAAGTGAATTCCTTGCAAAGCGCCAGGGACAAGGGGAATTGGGGATACGGAGTTGGTTGGGTTTGAATTTACAATTATAGCGTTGTTGTTTGTGCGAGCGACATAGCAAAACTTAGTCTGGGAAACAAACTCGTGTTCTGTACTGTACTTTTCGTCATCGGAGGCTTCATTGGCAGCTTGGGGGAACACGATTTGGGCTCTGTTTTGTCTTGGCTCTTCTATATCAGGCGTCAACATTGGTCACTGGACCAATCTGGTAGCATTTACGGCGAATAAATTTTGGTGCATTCATGTCTTACTGCTTGTATTCTGTATATTTCTGTAAATTCCATTGGATAAAATCTGAAATTATACACCATAATAAATCACGAAAAAAATACATCGCCTTGATTGATGGTGTACGTCTCCAAAGTTAAATCATCTCTTAATACGGTACTTTTGTGTTATATGGAGGTCTATGAAGCTTAGTGTGAGAGCCTCATCTACCTGTGGGCTTGCCTCAGGTCGAGGCCTTGGGGCTCTGTGAGGCGGAGAATACCCTGCTCGAGTCTATCCTATCATGAGCTGATCCATCACCGACAACTCAATAGGGCTAATGTCCAGCCACATCCACGTGTCGTGTGCGTTCAACGGTAACTAATTATGAAGCAGGAAAATCCAACAAAGCATCAAACACCCGCGGGGAACAGGGGACAGGCCCACTAGCGTTGTGTCGGCTTACATTCTGATCTGGACAAGGGGGCTCTAGTGCGCTCACTGAATCTCGGAGATCTCATTATGACTGATCAAATGCAAATGCTCTAACGTATACATGTCTTTTTCATTACCTAGATTGTCAAGACATTGAAGCTACCTTCCATAGAAATCCCGCTGGTCCCGACTTCATAAGAATAGAGAAGTTCAAATACTAAGCTGTAATCCAATTGAAGTGTCTGGATGCACCTAGAGAGATTTTGTTATCATTGTATGACTTCACGGGACTCGTAGATAGACCCCTCCTTGTTAATCCGGCCCCCAGATCCTGGCGCCACGAAGAATATTTCAAAGATGCCTAGGGGACATTGAGCAGCCCGCTGAGGTTCATAGTATGGTTTAAAAGAATTTTTAAGGGCCTATACGATCTTTGTTGGCATGTTTCCTTGTTGAGGCTGAGAGCGCCAGGCGGTTAATTTCTTCCCGCCAAGTCAGCCCTCGGCCGCCACTGTCTGCCTTGCACCACACAACATACAAACTAGACATGTTAATGGACCAAATATCAAACACTGACTCGTAGGATTGTAGCTGCGGTGAGGCTCAGCGCATAGTCCCCAGCTTACAATATCCAGAGGTATAACTGTCTAGGCAGATGTATTTTGGTAAACAATTCAAACACAAAATTACACACCTACATACATCTAAATACATTGTATGTATCCTATGGCAATTAGATGAGACGAGTCGATCATAGCTTTCAAGGTTGAAGACACGGTTTACGCTATCATTTATTTTAATATTTTGATAGTCCCCCGCTTTTGAAAGACAGGAGATGGGGCAACTTTGAAAGTTATGAGTTTGCTTTTTGTATTCCGTGTTGCCCCTCCGTTAGTATAATGTCCCGTATCCGAAAGCGGGTTCAAAAATACCGAAGTATATGTACACCCATGTTCACCTTGATACTACAACTTCGATTCCATACATTCACCTTAAGTCAATTGAGTAATTATAATACATACAAAAATATTAAAGCTAATTCTAAATAAATTGACTAGCAAATAATTAGTCTAATTGATATGGCCCCCATCTACGCTCGGTTCAAGTCTGTTGCTCAATACATATTGTTACTGAATGTATTCATACATACATGCTCTTACGCAGTGATCAAGGATTAGGATCAGACTCAATCACGACGCTTAGAAGCTTCCCTCCTCTTTTCACATCAACTTAAAGCAAGTGATAAGCTCAGCTATGACTGACCATTGAGAACCACAAGAGAACACCTGAATCATTTTACTCAAAGTTACTTGCGCGCTGTTTCACATATGGCTTTGTGCCCGGTGATATCCCTGCAACCTTTAAGCGCCTGCGCTATTCCATATTTGTACTAGAAGTCCACAT